TTCAGCGCACAGGGTTGCATTAGCTTCCCATTTACGCTCGCTCGTCAAGCAATCGTCGTCCAATGATTTTTACTCGAAATTATACTGTAACTTGCACTTGCTCGAAAATGTGTTCTTGTTGTTTGCATTTTGGCGGTACCCTACCCGTCTTTGCGGAATTAAATTTTTAAATCGGATCACGTGTAATGCGGTTAGAACGTACAAAGCGAAGTAGTCCGTCTCTGTAGGTATTTGGGGGTTGGGGTCGGCAGGCAATATGTGTAATGGATAACGGGCGGCGCTTGGGGGTGGAGAAAGAGCCAAGTTAACCGCAGCGCCAGTTCTCTGTAGTACAAATTTAGCCAGGATGTTACAGCACACCTTTCCGACGTAGCACAAAGGAACCACTTCTTATTAATCACGTGCAACATCCATTTTCATGTTTTCAACAAGAAAGCTCGACGTCGTTTGATCCTACACGATTTCTTTTCCTTCATTTTTTTTCAACCAATCAGTTTCGCATATTGATTTTTTGTACCTACGTGAAATGCAAATCAATAGGCACTTGTAAACCGGGGCCGGCCGTACTAAAAAGTGAAGGCTTTTCGCTACATATCCACACAATATTTAATTCAGTTTGAGGAGATCGAGAAAGATAAGTGATTCCATTTATATCAGTGGGTCCTATCCATGAGCCTCAAGTGTTTCTAATAAATTGTCGCACTATATATCCACTAAATTTATAAAGATGATTTTGAAATTCCTGGTTGATCATATCTTACACATTTGTAAAATGTGTCGTTTGAAAACTATATACCTTCGAAAGCTCCAAAATTGTTTACTCGCCACAATTAACACATAAATTAAAGAAAGTTGATGATGGTTAACCGGAGATGAAACGTCAGCCTTAAAATTTAAAACTAGCATCTTGCAGAAGGAAAAAAGTGGCCATATTTTGAAATATCTTTTTAACTAACTTCGGTAAAAAATAAAAAGGAATTTGCAAAATTTCGTTTTGTTCCGCATCCGCATATCTCCGGAAGTAGTCCGAATTTTTTCAGTTTCAAAACTACATTTTTGTAAGCATTAAAATACTTTGCGAAATTTAAACTACTTACTTATCTGTTACAGTTTCCGAAATCTCCATGGTGACCCTCGAATTTGAATCAGCCTGTATATAAGATCCATACAGGTTTTGATAAGCAGATTCCCAGTATAATGGAAATAGTTTCCTCCTAAGCTTATTTTTGTACTGTACTTTTAAATAGCACAGTAGAGAACTTTGTTCCAGAACTTTATTTATTGGTTTAGTTGCTCAGTTTTCGTCTTTTATATTGTTAACCGCTCTAGAAGAATGTTGCATTATTGCCTGGAAACGGTTAGACAATCATACTTTTATAGAAATAATTACTACTTAATATACTTATACATAAAGTATAAAAGGGTTCAATTTTGTGAGAAGTGAAATAAATTTGTTGCGCCAGAACAGCAAATAATGGACATTTCCCAAACTAACAAGCGAAAAAACAACAGTGTGAGTTTAGGCTTAGTAAATAATTTCAGTGGCTTTATATCGATGAGGAAAATGCTCGCCTTATTTTTAGAAAACGTGGTCAATGGAAACAAATTTCGAAAGAAAATTCAAAGGGCTGTAACTTTTGAACTAGTAGCCCAATCTTGGAACTGTTGGAAATTATGGATTCTACAGGTCACATTCTATTAGAAAATTTTTTTGCCGGGTCGATCTGAGACAATTTTTTTTCGGGCCTCAAAAAAGGCAGTGAACCTTCCTTTTTTACCAAAAAATCGACTACACCAAAATTTCTCGGGAAACCCCTTTTTCTTATTAATTTTGGTGCGTAGAATCCAAAATAATTCGTACTTTTTCGATTAGACTTCTTAATCAAAAGTTATAGACTAGAAACAAATTTCGAAAGAAAATTCAAAGGGCTGTAACGTTTGAACTAGTAGCCCAATCTTGGAACTGTTTGAAATTATGGATTCTACAGACCACATTCTATAAGAAAAAATTTTTCCGGGTCGATCTGAGACAATTTTTTTTTCGGGCCGCAAAAAAAGGCATAGTATAACCTTCCTTTTTTACCTAAAATCGACTACACCAAAATTTCTCGGGAAAACACTTTTTCTTATTAATTTTGGTGCGTAGAATCCAAAACAATTCGTACTTTTTCGATCAGACTTCTCAATCAAAAGTAATAGA